CTGGGGATTTTCTAAAGAAACGGAAAAAAATTGATACAGGCCACTCATGAGGACAGAGCCAGCAAGAAGCAGGAAGCATATCAGGTTAATATTTTAATCTGTACATCACATTTTTTGTTTTGCAAACCATTACACTTTTATTTAAATTAACTTTTTCTTGCAAAATATTCATTTCATTTTTCCAACAAAATCTTATAAAGGCAAAAATAAAATCTTATTTTGGCAAATGTCATGAAGTTGATCCTGGCAGCATATGGAGTTAGTTAAAAATAGACAGCAATGTCTAAATATAGTTAAGATTTTTTTTTTCCCGACCATAGTCAAAGACAAATTTTCATTTAAAGTGTGGCCCCACCCAATGGAGGTTTTTTTTTTTTTTCTTTTTTTCTTAAAACATCATTTTCCGTATGCAGAATATCATGAGCTCATGACTTAACTAAAGGGCCACAAACACTGCGCCTGGCTTGGCAGCCCCCTCCTCTCTGGAGACTGGAAGTCAAGTCCAAATCCTACTGCCTTCCATCAGGGATGTTGGGGGCACATTGCCTGCCCTCTGGCCACCAGGCCCATGTTCTGGGGAAGCTGACCTAGGTGCTCCAGGGCAGGCAGCAAAGCCCTATCACTGCATAGCGTGGAGTCAGGGAGTTTTTAGGTAGACGCCACCCAGTGTGAAGTTTATTGCTTATGATACAACAAAAGGTGCTTCCTCTCACCTTTTCTGTATTTCAAAATGTATATATATATTTTTTTTAATTAAAGCAAACTGTTCTGTTTTTCCCAAGAAGAGCCCTTTGCTGAGAGAGCCTCATGAACAGGTTGGGAGCCAAAGCTCTTAAATACACTACTGCCCCTAAACCAAACCCAAGGGCCAAGGCGCAGACTTGGGCTCCAAATGGCAGCCTGGTGGAGCTTCCCCGTTCAGAGCTGGTCATCTGGCTAGGTCAGGGACAGATGACCTCTGCAGCTAAGGACCCTTCTTCCCCCAGATAGCATGCCAATGAGCCCAGTGCTGGGCTCCACTGGAAGCACATATCAAATCCAACCTTCACCTGAGTTCACTGGATGTTGGACTGGCCTCTGCCTGCCCCGCCCTTCTCCCTAACACACACCGACCACCCACACGGTACCTGAATCTGTATGTGCAGCTCCCAAATCCTGCATCCTCACCTTTTCCAGCCACTCAGCCCTTGAGGTGAACATTATAAAATATACCCTGATTCTAAAATACAGCGTCGTCAGTATTTTACAGTGTGTATCAAAAGTGCCTTTGTCATATGTAAAAAGGAGTCTGAACTAAAACAAATCGGGGGGGTGGGTGGTTGTTAGGACCTAGCCCTATGGTGAACTCCCCACAGTTGGCGGGCTCCTCCTTCCTCCAGCCAGAACCCCTGCTGAGCTGGAAGGGGTTTCCTTGGGGGAAGAAAGATCAATCTTCTCGGAAGAAACTGGTTCCACTGGGTCCCTGGCTCCAGACTTCTCCTTTGCACGCTGGGTCACGGGTCAGTCACTGCCTGGGCTGGCAAAAAGCACAGGACACAGTGAGGGGCTGGCCGGATCCCAGCCCACATCTGGGTAGCAGGCAGTGGGCATGTCTGTTACGCACACGACAGGGAATGGCAGGCTGACAAGACAGAGAGCAGCTGAGCAGGGGGCTAGGGCAATGCGGCCGCTGCTGGGGGACCCTCAGCTTCTAGGACTCATGGGCCCTGGGCCCCACCCTTTCTTCACTCCTACCACTTCCAGAAAGTTTTGCCAGACACATGCTGGCCCCTAGATTGGGTCTCTGCTCTGATAGGGCAAAATGCCTGAGCAAAGAGGACTCTGGGGTCAGTTCTGGCCCTGCCCTTCACTCACTGAGTCACTCTGAGTAACGCTTGCTCTCAGCCTCCATGAGTCTCATTTTTTTAACCTAAAAACAGAATGGTCATACCCACCTCCTAATGAGTATTTACCCTAACAGGAGGGCAAACGGGAATGTGGATGCACTCTGAAAAAAGCATTAAAGGCCTATCTCACAACTACGGGGGTGTCAAAAGCCTGGAGGAACAGGGCCTCTCCCTGGCCTCTCCGTGGCCTGGCATGGTGTCACCACACTCAAATCTCCAGGAGAAATCCACACACCCTACTGTGGCCCCAACAGGTCCCTGTGGCCTTTACAAAGGACGTGGCTGGAGCATTTCCCTGTGGTTCTTCAGTCGCGGGGTCTCTAATGCACGCTTTCCGAGAGCCTGGCCCAAGCAGGCCAACCTCTTCCTTCCACCCTCAGGCTGGCAGGGCACCAGGCTGGGGGACACCTGCTGAAAATCACGAACCCCCCACCCCAATGCACACACTCTCTGTCCCTCCCTTCTGCAGACACCCAGAGCTCCTGGGCATGGCCCAGGTGAGTCCACAGTGGTGACAGGGAACAAAGGCTCTGAACCTGCACCGTAAGGGTTCAAACCCTGGCTCTGACACAGCTTCAACTCCTTGGGCAAGTCCCTCAAGGTCTCTGAGCTTCATTTCCTCATCTATAAAATGGGGGTGAGTATCTTCATAGGGTGGTTGTGTGGATCGAAGGAGAGGCTTAGCATAATGCCTGGCACATAGCAGGTACTCACCTTGCCAACCGTTCAGTACAAACGGAGGAAAGAGAGGGAAGCCCTACAAACTGATGGCAAGATGGAACGTCAGGGCGAGGACTGCTGAGACTTCCGGTCTGGCCCTCCCCTGTCCGGGTGAGGCAAGTGGGCTCGGGCCACGGACTCACCACAAGACTGGACCAGAAGCTGGGCCTCCTGACTCCTAATCCCTCCCTGCCTCTCATCACTAAATGCTCTCATGGGGAGGCCCCACAAGGAGTGGTCCCAGAACATTCTGAATGCTGAGGGCCAACTTCACATTGCCTTGGGTGGCCTCCCCCTGAAGCTTCCCTTCCTCTTCCCCTCCTGAGGTGCTCAAGTGCCGAAAAGGGCAGTCCTAGTCCTTGCTCCAACACCAATTCCATTTGGCCTGGAGTGAGCCTCCACCTCCTCACTGGGCCCGTTTCCGGGATTTTTCTGGTCTTCCAGTTCTTCCAATTCTCTGGCCAAAGCCCGGAGAGGCTGAGACTAACTCTTCCACCCCAAGCTGGCAGCCTGGCCTGCACTGGTCCCTTGGGGCACTGGGCTCCCTGCAGGGACGAGAGCTGGGGAGAGGGAATACCGTTGTAGCTTCTATTTCAGGGAAGCAGGGGGCTTGGATCACCCAGCCTCTCCTGTAGCAAAGCCACTGAGAGCTGAGTTCCTAAAAACCATCCATCCCCCACCCGCCTGCCAGTCCAGGGCGGTCTCCCCAGCGGCCGCTTTGCCTGTGGAAGGAAGCAGGAAGCGTCAGCAGGTGGCACTGCGATCATCCCGGCGGCGGCCGAGGGGAGGGGAGGGCATGCTCGGCGCTAGGGGAGGGGCAGGCCAGGCAGGGCTCTTACTTGGAAGGTGTTAGACAAAGGTGTAGTGGAGTCCGTTGCTTAAGGGGGGGTAAGGTGGCACCGTCCTGGAGGACAGGGGGGCTTTAGGCGGGAAGAGGGCCAGCTGCTGCGCTAGACGGGCACACAGGAATTAAGCGGGGCGTTAGGCTCCTCATCTGCTCCCGGCAGCACCAGATGCCGCACACTCGGCAGGGCTGCAGGGGCGTGGGCCGCGCTGCCCACCACTAATGGCCTGGGCAGCACACCCATGGGGCCCGGTGGGGGCCCGGCTGGCACCAGCCTGCAGTTCCCAGATATGCCCCTGAGCTAGAGAGAGGGAGCCAGAGTAAGGAAAGGCTGCGGCAAAGGGGGCCACTCGGTGGGGAGGTGCAGGAGGCCCTGCTAAGTGCCTGCAGGGTGTGCGCCAGGGCAGGCTTGCCTGCCAGCCATATGGAAGCCGAGGTCCACGTGGGTAGGGCAAGCACAGGCTAGATACCTCACGGTGTGGGCAGGGGGAGTATCCCTGCTGGACCCCTCCACATGGAAAGGAGTCAAAATGACCACGATGGGCCACAGGGAGCCCCCAGGATCACTGGGAGGAGGGGTCTGGGTGAGTCTTCTATGGTCTCCCCAGCCACACCAACCACCGGCTCAGCCCACTTAGCATGTCTTCAAAGGAGTGAGGACAGCAAGGACTGCAGGGACTCTGCAGGATCACAGCATGGGGGGAACAGGAAACAGCTTTCCCCTTGCCCGAGGCTACTCCCCTGGCTTCTCGAAGTGATGTTCAAGCTCTGCTCCTCAGACCAGACTTTCAGAGCCGGTCCCCTCAGGGTCCAGCAGGCCCCACCCTTCATCACTTCCAGACCCTTTGGCCAGGGTTGGGGGCCCAGGGGGGCTGCGACAGCATTTCAGGCTCTATGATCACACCCTCCCTGGAAGGCCTAGCGCACACCCGGCCATGGGCACTACCCAGACACACAGTGGCCCCTGCATCTGGGGGACAAATAGCACTGGGTCAACTGGGAGGGCACAGACGGGGAGCAGAGATGTGGGAGGGAGGAGCCACGCGTCTGTTTCCTGGCTGAAGAGAAAGCCTTGTACACACACATACACACACGTGTGCACATGCACACATGCCCCTTCCCATCCCATGGTGACATTTTTTCCCCACTGGCCAGCAAAGTCCCACTTCCCAAGTCCTGCTTACTGGCACAGTCCACTCTGACAAAGGGGACAGTGGCTCTGATTGGGAGCCAAAGCAGGGGCTTCAGGGGGGACTAGAGGGGCCCCCTTTACCTTGCCCCAGCAAGAAATCCAAACACCAGTGCTTTCCTGCCCCCTTTCTCGTGAAGCCAGAAACTTTCGCCTTGGCCCCTGAGGCCCCAGAAAAACCTGTTCTTAACCCACATTCTCAGAGAAAGCTGAACAGCAGCACCACTCCCAGATTTAAGAAGCAGCTAGAGACACCCTCTCCCGGACCTCTTGCCTCTGACACTCCTGAGCCTCAGTTCTCCCACCACCCGCCCTGCCCCACCTCACCTCCCAAGCCCTGGGGTGTTTGTGGGACAGGAGAACATGCCACTGCCCTTCAACTACCAGCTGGTTTTCTGCAGACTCCCTGACAGGCCATGCTGGGCTCCGAGCCCAAGCAGCGAGTGGGAGCCAGACTTGGAGGCCGGCCTCCTTGGCCTCACCTGCCACCTGCTTGCTGCGCCGGGAGGCCTCAGAGGCCAGCGTGTGGGAGACGTTGATGATACGCGCCTGCTCCAGCAGCTGCGAGTCCAGGTCGGCCACGCTGTTCCGGTCCTGGCCTGAGGGTGGCGGCCGGTTGCACATGCTGCAGGAGGGCCAGAAAGCAGGCTATGGGCACTCCCCGCCCCAGCGTCTGCCCCAGAAGAGGAGGGTCTCCCTGGCCTAGAGGCTCTCACCCTTTTAGGGGGCATCAGATAAACACAGTGCCCTTTCTCTCTAGACAAAGGTGTATGTGCTTCTCCCAAACACCCAGCCACAGCTTTGTTCCTCCTCTGGGGGATCACGGCCTTAAGAAGAGAGTGCCAGCTCTGCGTTCCTATTAAATCCTGAAATGAAAAGGCTAATCTAACTCTGAGAGGCCCTCCAATACCAGGTTTATGCTTCTGAAGCTCCAGGGGCTTCAGGGGAGATAGGAAAGCCTCCCGTCCTGGCCTCCAGGGAAGTGGGCAAGGCCTTTGGCACCTCAGGACAAGGCTGAGCCCCTGGCTCTGGTCTAGGGATCTGTGTGAGGGAACATAGGCTCTAACTCCGGAGGACCAGCCTTGGGGTCGATCTCCAGCTGTGTCCACCTCACTGTCACACTTGGCTCCGCTCCCTACATTTGCCAGCATCACAAGACACAGATCTGGGGGCAAAGGACCAGGGTGGCCCTCTATTGCGTATTTCAGGACTTGCAGATGACCTAGCAAGCCTCCTCACAGATCCACTGGTGCCATTCTGAGAGCCAGCCTGCCCTTTGCAATAAACAGGGCTTACCTGAGTCAGGGACCTGGCAAAACATGCACCCTAGTCAGCCTAGGCCAGGGCCCAGGTAGTAGAGACACCCCCGGGGTCGGCCTAGCAGGCTGTCAAGACTCGAGCATCGTAAGAGCTGACCTGGAACGAGCAAGGATATTGCGGATCTTCTCGGCTTTGCGATACCGCGCCTGCAGCTCCTCAAGGCTGGGCGGCTCCTCAGGGTCCAGCTCCACGTAACGCTCAGGGATGGAGACCTTCTCTGGTTTGGCCAGCTGAGGAAAGGACCGGGCGGCAGTGGCAGGGGGGCTCAGATATTGGGTTTAAAACTTGCTCCTCGCCCTGTTCCCCAGCACAAGGAAGCACACAGAGCCCACAGAGTTAAGTAACTTGCTGAGATCAATGCAGTCCACTGTGGAGTCGGGATCTCAACTGTGTTCTTTCCACCACACCAGATAACCTCCTTCAGGCCAAGGGAAGGGAAGGGGAAAGGCAAGACAGCAAGACCGGAAGCCCTCAGGATAAAATGATTATCCTTAATGCCGCCTTCAATATGAGCTGAGCCCTGCCAACCTACACAGCCACACTGACCCACCGTGTGGTCTCTGCCCCTGCTCTTTCCTCTGCATGGGATGTTCTTCTGTTCACTCCACTCCTTGTGACCCTTTGGACCTCACTTCCAGAAGTCTTCCCTGCCCCTCCCCACTCCACCCCTGGTATCCCGTCCTGTTTTCTGTTTGTCTCTCTGCTGTCTAGTGCAGGGACCTGACACTCAGTAGCCCTTTAGCAAATACTCCTTGGGTGGGTGGTTGGGTGGGTGGATGAAAGGAAGTGATAATGCTTTCTGTCCCTACAGAAGCTCCTCTGCTCTACAGTAAGCAGCCATGCAGTATCCACTGGTCGCAAGAGGACATGTCCCCAGCTCCCCCCAACCAGTCTCTGATGTGAGCCCAGCAGCAACCTCAGCCTGCTGACACCCTGCTTAAACTCAGAATGCTAAAGGCAACTTTTGCATACCCCAGGGAATTTCTTCCTCCTTGAACTACAAAAGCACATTAAAATGAGGTTGGTTGAAGCTTCTAAAAACAAGCTAAATCCAATCCCAGGGCAGATCTGGACTTGAATTTAAACCCAGGCAGAACCTTTCATTCTGGTCAAAGATGGCAAGAAATCAGCTCTTTTCTGTTATTTCCAACGAGGGCAGATCCAGAGGAAGGAAGTAGATTACATTGTAGCAGGAGGGATTTAGGTTAGAGATAAGAAAGGACTTTTTCCCCTGGCTGGCAGGCCAATTAGGACACCGCGAAGCATACTTCCATTGCCAAAGCAGTAGGGAGAAGCTTCTTGTGTGAATCTGAGAAAGCACAGACCTTTGGTTGTTGCAGAGGTGCCAAAGGGGAAAGGTCTGAGGGTGGGGGACCAGCTTCCTTAACCTCTGGAGCCCCAGCTGACCCCAGAGCAACTCCACAGGTATTGATTTTCCCACACCCTGCTAAATCTATCCTTCAAGTAGCGAGAACATTTCCTCTCATAGAGTTTCAGGGCACGCCAAGTCCTCATACAAATATTTGTAGGGTATCTGTGGACCTCTGTGTACTTCACTCAACAGAGCTGTCACTTGGGAAATATTTACAGAGCACCTACTACGCGCCAGGCCCTGTGCTAGGCACTAAGTACACAGAGATGAACCGAACAGCCATAGACACTGTTCTACAGAGCTTACAAACGGCACAATATAGGCCACAGGAGACCTCCCCGTGTCTTGAAGACCCTGAGCCTGTCACCCTCTTAATTCCTTGCTCTTCCCTTGGGTAAGACACATTCCTGAATGATAGAAGACCCAGGGGTTACTTGCTTTTCTGGGCCTGGCCAGTCATGATGCATTTGTGCCACCAGAGGGCACTAGAAGAACTCAGACCAGAACTACGCAGGTCTCCGAGGCTCCTCCAGGGCTGGAAATTTCACCTGTCATTTTTCAACCCTGCTCGCCTCCACAAACCAGCCCCCTGCCCCCCCACGTCTAATTTCCCAAGTTGGCCTCACTGGCCAGTCGCAAGGCCAACTCCTAGTTTTCCGGGGAGCATTTCCCAATAACAACATCTCATCACATGCCTACTACATGTCACATGCCTACTACATGCCAGGCCCTGTGCTCATGGTTTTCTGACCACTGCTCATCCTCCAGGCAACGTGCTGAGTCACTTCCTCCTCACCACAACCACTTCACTGTCAAGGAAACCAAGGCTCAGAGAAGTTAAATGACTTGCCCTCAATTATGGAGATAGAGAGATCGATAGATCTGAATCTGCATCAAAATGCCTTGGCTCTGGGGCGCCTGGATGGCTCAGTCTGTTATGTGTCTGCCTTCAGCTCAGGTCATGATCCCAGGGTCCTGGGATTGAGTCCCGCTTCCAGTCCCCTGCTCAGCAGGGAGTCTGCTTCGCTCTCTGCTCATCCTCTCTCTCTCTCTCTCTCAAAAACAAATAAATAATCTTTAAAAAAAAAAATGTCTTGGCTCCTTTTATTGCCTTGAGCCGCTATTCATCCATTCTCCTGGCCGCACTGAAGCTGAGCCTTGTCCCCATTCAGGACAACCCCCCCCCCCCCGCCGCCGCACCCCGACCCAGTGCCACTGGGAGGGTTGGTCAGGCCATGAGCCAAAGGCTATTTCTCCTGAGGGGACACGAAGGAAGACCCTGCCCTCACCTCTCTGCTGATGTCCAAGTCATAGTCTTGAGGCTCCAGGTCCACCTCAGTGACAGGCATGGCCTGCACTTTCAACCAGCCATTTTCCTCCTTGTCCTTTCTCTCCCCTTGCATGGCCCGTTCCAGCAACCGCAGGTCAAAGTCCTGCTCACGCTTCCACTGGCAACAGAACAAGAAGGTTAAGTGTAGTCACTTCGTGACTGCTAAAAGAGCCAGGCTTGTCCCCTTTCGGATGGGGCCTGCAGGCACTGGGGTCCTTGGGAAGGGGGCCTGTGACCCGTTGGGATAAAGCCGTGTGACCATGAGCCCCTCAGCCTCATCTCTAAAACAAGGTTGTAGTTGTGGGACATAGATGGTCCCTGCAGGGTGCTGTAAACTCATGTAATGGAGGAGACCTCTGCCCCCATTTATATGGCCGGATGCCAGGCTGCTAATTTCTCTCCCATCTGCGCCCCCAAAGGATTCACACATATACCTCTAGGGCCCAGTTCTGAGACCCATGACTTCAGACTCACAATGGTCCCCAGAGATACAGGAAGTTTCTAGGTCTAAGAGGGTGACCCCAAAACAGAGCCTGCAACAGAGCTCCAGAGAAGCTGCCCCATAGCTTGTAGAAGGCTTTCTGGTTCGGGAGCCATATAACTCAGCTCAGAAATGATGGAAAAAACAAGCCCTTTGAGGCCCTGGTAAGCACGTACCAATAGCCAAGACCTTCTCTAATGGGTACTCCCAAGAGGATACATTTAGGGGTGAGGGATATTGCACCCACATCACGGTAGGGAAGGTCTAGCTTGGGCCTAGGGAGGCAGCTAAACTGCTGCTTACCCAGACATCTATCTGGGGGCAGATGTTTTAAGTTAGAAAAAAAATGAAACTACACAAAATTGAAATGCTAAATCAAATGCAACATTTCCCAGGCTCTTCCTTAGTATCAGCTATGTAACAAGCATCTCTTCACAGAGGGAAAAACTAAACTGGCCATTTTAAGACCCAGACGAAACCCTGCAACTCTAGAGGGGCCTTTCAAATCATCTATGGTCTATGTCCTCACAGACCTTTGACACTGAGCAGATTGTTGAGAGGAGGGAACAGGCTCAAAGCCTCTCTTTTCTTGAGCAGAAACCAAGCAGATGCTTCTTCATCCCAGCAGACCTCCTCCATCCCACCCCATACATCTCACAGAGCTCCAAGTGGTCATGATTGTCTTTGATGCCCCCTCAAGTGACCCCAAAGCCCCAAACCCATAGCTCTATCGGCACATTTCACCCATTCATGCACAAGCTCTCAATACCGACTGAAGCCAATGTAATTGCTCTTAGGTGATGATTTCCAATTACGGTATGAAAGGATTAGGCATTTGAAGTTTTAAGGAAGAAAAGTTAATTTAATGATTCCCAAAGAAAATGCGCATTTTCTTATATGCTCACAAATGCCCCAAATAGAGACAAGTCCTCATTGAAACCCAGCCTGATTGTTTCCACAAACAGCAAAAGTTCACTGGACTCTGTGATGTATCCTGGGGAAGAACCACGCCAATCCATTGTCATTAAGCAACACGTTTATTGGCGTTGATGCAGAGACTTACACAAGTCTTTTTTAAGAGAAAAATTACAAGATACTCAAGTTACGATTTTTAGATAATCTTTCTACATTTGAGACATCAGGTTGTAAAAGGTCAGTGTTACCCCAAATGACATTTGCTTATAAAGTTTAAAAGTTACTGGCTTTGCAGCTTTTCAGGATATGAGTGTCCTGGGTCTTACCCCTTTGGTGTCTGTGCTAACAGCTACAGAGAGGCCCTCTGAATACAGAACATATCTTGGCATCTGTTCAAATTATTATATACTAGAAACACAAAAAGTTTTCCATAAGAAATTGTGCAATGGGACTGGAAGAATTAACACTGAACCACTTTAGACTTGGTAGGATTTATTTAAATGTGCAATCTCTGAAGCCTGTGTCTACCATCCAGGTGTAAGGCATGGACTTTGATCAACTCATAATGCCTAGACCTCTGCCCATGATCACGGCCCTCAGGCAGCAGGTTGGCTCAGCCTTGTGGGGCGGCTTTTGGGTTAAGTGAATTATGAGTCAGTAGGCCTGCATCATGGGGGCAGCAGAAAGGTGAGTCACACATGGGAGTGCTAGCTAGGCTACGGAGACAAGAGCTGCTATTACAAGCCTGGTAACAAAGAGCACAGGCCCGTTAGGGAATGTTCAACGCAAATTAGAAGCTTCCGTCAACACAATCAGGCAGGATTAGAGAGGCAATGAGCGGTAACACTAAAAGCAAAAGAGCTTGTGCAATGAATTAGGGAAAGAGCAGTCTGGCTAGAGGGCTAGGGAAACACGTGATTTCAAACAACAGGGAAAAGTCAAATGGAATGTTTCCCAAAGGGACAGAAGGGGACTGTGGGCAGGGTGCAGTGCCCGCAAGCACACCAGGGGGCAGCACAGGTCTCCCCCGGCTCTTGGGGGGCACCATGAGGCCTGCCAGCACCACAAGCTGGGGGAGAGCGCCAGCCCTCAGGGCTGTGGAGCCCGACCCTGTGCTCAGTTGCTCCGCAGGGCATCGCTCAGAGGTCTGGGAGGCTGGCTGGCTTGCACTCCTCCTCACCAAATCATATCACCATCTTCCTCCTTCATTCCTGAACTCTGTACTCCCAAGTCCTTGATCCAGCTGAGACTCCAAATGCTACAAAGTCCTCTCTCAAGTTCAGCTTGGGGAACAAACTTGGGACATTTTCTCTGGCTGCTAGGCTCCTGCCGTGACATCCTCACTCCTTCTCTGATTCCAGATCACCCACCCTCTGACCAGGTCACACAAGTGGCCCGGGTTGTGGACACACAGCCCGTGGGGTGTTCTCTGAACCATCTCGGTGGAAAGCCTACTCTCTCCGGGGTGTGATGTTCATGTGTGTTTGGGGAACTCGGGGAAGCTCTGCTCCCCGTCCCAGCCCCACCTGCCTGGACCCTCCTAACATACTGAGCCGAGATCTCCGGGGAGAGGTTGGCTGAGGTAGCGGGACGAGGGCAGACCCGTCCTCTCTCCTTGGCTCAGCGTCCTCTTGCGCTCCCGGACCAGCGCCTTCTGGTGCCGCTTCATGCGCTCCAACTGCTCCTCCACACTCATCTTGCCCCGCTGGTGGTCCCCTGAGTACAGGCGTTCCAAGGCACTCTTGGGTCTCTGCGGAGCAGGAGGGTGAGAGGCAGCACAGCTGGGCTGGGACCCAGAGGGCAGCCATCATTCCTATCCTCTCTCTCTCACACGCACATGCACACGCACGCACACACGCACGCACACTCTAGCTCCTCTAAGCACATTCAGGCTCTCTGGAGAGGACCCCATTCTGCAGATGCAGACACTGAGGCCCAGGTCTGTCCAGCTGGACACACAGGTAGCATGTGATGGGGCCAGAACTCAGGGTACCGACTTTCTGAGTACCCTCCTCCTGTGAGCCTGAAAGGCAGGAGAGAAAGATGAGGGGTGGTCCTCAAGAAATGGAGAGAGCCAGATGATGTCCTTCTAGGTGGGCAGTGGGAAAGGTATCACTGAGCACATGGTGACAGGGACCCTGAGCTCAGGAGGGGCTGAGGTCACCTCAGAGGCCATCCCTGGGGCTCACAGGATTGCCAGTCACCATCCACCTCAGAGCCCTTCCCTCTCAAGGCCACTCACAGGGAAGGTCACCTTGCTGCTTTCGGCATTTAGACCCCTCCGGAGCGTGACGTAGGGAGCAATGGTGGACGACTGCTGGAGTCTTGATGTGGACCCCGAGAGCCCTTAATGAGGAAAGAGAAGTGCAAATTATTTGCGATGGGGTGGACAGGCCACCAGCCCCGCCTGAACCACCTCCCACTCCTGAGAGGGGACCATGAGGACCTAGCCAACAACCCATTCTTCTTCTTCCCCAGGGCCTAGAAGAGAAAGGCTCGGTAGAGGATGAGGGGTCAACCCAGAGGTGCTCTTTGTCCCCAGTGGGGAACAGCATCCCTGGAGCTCTATAGACCACCCTAGTCTTCCTTCACATGCAGAAGACCTGGGCTGCTTGGCAGGTAGAAAGGATGAAGGGGTAGGAATGCCCTTCATACTTTTTTCCTGATGCACTCCTATGCATCCTGCATGACCCAACCTGCATGCCCTGCCTGTGTGAAGCCTTCCCAAATGCCCCAGGCAGAATTTATTATCCTCTATATCCTTCAGTATATGCATTGGTTACCGCACTGACCACAGTGCCAACACACCTGTCCAACTAGCCTGCAAATTTAACAATGCCTGCCTGACCGACTGACTGAATGACTGAATGAATAAATGAAGGAAGGAAAAGCAGCAGCACCAAGTATTTATTGAGCACTTAACTATGTAACAGGCAGGCACTGTGCGACGTGTTTTATATAGATTTTGTTCCACTGGCCTGACCACGTAAGCATTACCTGACCATTGTAGAGATGCACAGTCTAAGGCTCAGAGAGGTCAAGGAACTTGTCCAAAGTCACATGGTAGGAGTATCATCGACCATGTGCTTCCCATGTCTGGGTCCTATGGCTTAGAGAAATCATGTCACCCTGGCCGGCTGGTGCCACCGCCTGTGCTTTCTCCACTAACACCAGTTCTGATCAGCGGTGGTCCCTGACATCTGGAAACGGGCATCACACCGACTGAGGACACCACTAGCACTTAGCACGTAGGGAAAAGAACGATCAGTGCCCTGCAATGCAAAGAGAATCCTGAGCAACAAAGAACTGTCCTGCCCCAAATACTACTAACACTGTCATTGATATACTGAATTAAGGGAACAGTGTCCCTGGGCACAGTGCCAAGGGCTGCTGTGGCCCCCTTCAGCAAAGTCCAGAGCCTATACCCTCCAGGGACCAGCTCAGGCCATAGCATGCCAAGGCAGTGCGGCGGGCTGGGAGTCTCAGAACCCTGCAGGTGCCAGAACCACAGCTGTGGCTCCTTCTGCTTCTGCACCCGGCCGGTGGGGAAAGCACTTGACCGCCCACCTTAGGGAGCAGACAGGACGATCAGGTGAGGAACAGATGGAAGGAGTGTGGTCAGCCTGCTCAGGGATTCCAGGACACCCAGATGCAAAAAGGTCAGACCTCCCTTTAAGGGGATTTCTGAGAAGAGGGTCTGCTATGGGGACAAAGGGGGTATGGGAGACCCTAAGGGCCTAAGTCTGTTCCCATCCCCATCTTGAAGGGATAGGGGAGAACAGCGAGGAGGCGGCCCAACTGAGAAAAGCGTGTTTGTTTAAAGAAAGGACGCATGGAGTCTTGCAGTGATACAGGAGAGCAAAAATCCCTCTGGAAGGCCTGAGATGGCCAAACTGATGGCAGTCACCCAACATCCCAGCCTGCAGGGTGCATGGCTCTGGAGCCAGAACACTGGGATCATATTCTGGCTCCATCACTTGCTGGCTATTTGGCAAGTTAGTTAATTTCTCTGAGTCTTAGTTCTCTTATCTCTATAATGGGGATGATGATAATAGTACTTCCTTCATAGAATTATTATAAATATTAACTAGGTGAATATAAAGAGCCTGGAACTGTGCTGGGCTTTAAAGTAATTGCTATTATCATTACTTCCAGGGGCAGATGTAATAAAAGCGGAAGAGAATCAGGATGTGGGCCAGAGGAAGGAAGGACAGGCCCTCCCTGCAGCCCAGAGTCTCCTTGACAACTGCTGCCCATGCTGAGGCCCCAAGCGGCAGGCAGAAGGGTGTAAGGTACACGGTGAGCGACCGGGGAGCAGTGGTATGGTAGTAGCGGGGGTTCCCAGAAAGCCTCCATGGACAGGCTTGCCTTACCTCTGCCTGGCAGTGTCTGGTACCTGCTGTCAGGGCCCACTAGTCCCAGGGAGGGCTGGGCCATGTCCCCACTGAAAGTCACCAGCTCAGGCTCACTAACGTATGACCGGAGCTCCACCTGTGGGCAGAGTCTGAGGCTGTCGTACCTGCCCAGGGTCACGCCACCTTCCCTCCCCTCACACACAGCAGGGCAGCCCCAGGGGTCCCCCCTGCTCACCCTTGAGTCCCCATTCACACACTGCCCCTGCTCCCGGTCTCGCTTCCTCTCGTCCGACTGGCGTTTCAGACCCCTCACTGAAGTGTGCCGGATGACAGTGGCCTCCCTTGGCAGAGGTGGCACAGCCGGGGGCTGGTCCTCTGGACTGTAGAGCTCAGGGAGTGGGGGCCGGGGAGGTGCCTCGTCTTCCTACTCGGAAAAAGAACCAGAATCAGTGCCCGGTTAGAGGGAGCTGGAGGGAAGATGCCTGGTGGCACCACTGAAGTGGTGGCCCAAAAGACTGGAGCAGGCCCGAGCAGGCCACCTCAGGCTTGCAGAGTAGGACCACTTCAGCCCAGGGATGCCAACATTTCCCCTGGATGAGCTGCAAAGAAGGGGGATGCCTCGGCTCTAATCCTACTCTTCCCTTCAATTCACTCATTTTCCACTTTTCAAAGCGTTACCTATACAAAATCCGGTCTCCTGGGTCCGTGGTCTTACTCCACTTCCTTGAAGCGTACCAAGGTGGGGAGGGGGGAATAGGCTGGTAACTCTGTGCTTATCTGTATGTCTATGACAGCACACCACCACCACCGCCTGGAGAACAAACATCTACCCCACTCCAAAGTTCTCAGACTGAGCTGGCTCATTGTCCCTGCATGGTCTCTGGATCCTTTAACAGGTTGCCATCTGAGCAAGGACAGTCTACATCCCCTGTCCATGCCCTTTCTATCAGAAATGTGGGTGGCTACAAAATATTTCCTCCTTCCTGATTCAGGGACTGAATAAGCAGTCAGCAACGGGTGACTCACCACTGCCTTCCTGGCAGCCCACTCCCTGGGTAGTGATGAATAGAACTATTTTCCTTGAAACTGACCCCCCACCCCCTAATAAACTCTCTCTGAGGGCTGTGGCTTCTGCACAGACCAACAGCCTGGCCCCTGACTGCCACGAACACCCACTCCTGGAACCAGGGACCATCCTTCCTAACTGCCCCCCCTTCCTTAGTTTAATTTTGCTTTGTTTTTCAGGATTTTGCAAAGGTCAGAAAAGCGTGCTTAAGCTTGCTCTATGAAGGTTTATCAGCATTCTAGTAAAGTGACACAGTTCACTATTGTGTGAAAGTTAAGCTTCCTGTCCCAGATACCCACACGCTCTCTGAGCATCAGCGGCTTCCAACCCTGACAGTGTCCTGGAATCACCAATTTCTAAAAAGTTCCCCAGAAAGAGAAACATAAAACATTGACACAAACACAAAACTGCCTTGGACTAAAGAAAAGATGGAGGGTGGGAAGAGACATTTTATTATATACTTTTTTGTATCTTTTGATTTTGTGCCCTTTGAGAATATTATCTAATAGAAAAGTAAGTGACATTAAATTCAAGAAAATAAGCCAAATAAAAATGAAAGAACTATAGCTACCTGCAACAATGTGGATAAGTCTCACAAACATAATGTTGAAGACAAGGTTCAAGATACAGAAGAATACAGTACCGCGCATAGGCAAAACTCAAGTGTTTAGACACGGGTAGCAAAATTAAAAAAAAAAAGGGCCAGGAAATTATCCAAAAAGTCAAGATAGTGATAATGGTTACTTCTGGCAGAAAAGGACTGATGGGCCTAAGGTCTCTAGTTGCAGACAAAGTTCTATTTCTTGGTTTGGGTATTGGTATAAATGGGTGGTCTCTTTATTATTTGTTAAATTACATATTCATGTTTTATGTCAATCTCAGGATATCATTGTTTCACAAACAAAAATATAAAACAAATAAACAACAATAACAAATGGTAAACCTGGTGAAGGAAGGGAAAGAAGACCCTCCCAAGGACTCTGATGTTCAGCCAACTTGAAAAGTCCTGCCTGCGGGCCACAGAGGACTCAGCTGTGAAGAGCCTCTGTGACCATCTATTCCAAGCTGCTTGTTGTGTACAAGGGGAAACTGAGGAAGCCCTTGCCCAAGGACCCAGTGAGAGAACAAGAACTGCAATCCAGGCAGTCCAGCTCCCAGGCTACCATATTCTCCCCCCTGCTCCTCATCCTGGCTAGCAGGCATTTTGCCTTAAGTCAGAAGCTAGCCATTCTGCCCTAGCCATTCCTGCTGTGTTTTACTATTTCCCACCTCCTGTTTTTTGACTTCTTAGATATAAAATTGGGAAGGAGACCTCAATGTGAAGAAATTCACAATGACTCAGTCCCAGCATCTGCCTTCCAGCTCTGGGCCCTGGGAGATGGCTGGAAGCAGGTGGACAGTGAGGACCCAGGTATGGGAACTTGCGTGCTTTAGCCAGCACCGCACACCAACCTTGTCAGAGGTCCTAGGCATACCCCGTGCCCAGGCAAAGCTCCTCTAAGCCTTTGTTGGCAAAACCTGGAGGTCCCCTCTACTATGGCTTCCCTGTCACTTGGACCAGATCCCTTGTATTTTCCAGCCAAGGCTGGCCTGGCACTGGAGACGTGAACCATCACAGTACCTGACCACATCTTCTATTTTCTTAAAGTCTCCTGTGCTCCCAGACTCTGTCGAAAGCTTGGCCCTTCTCTCTGCCAGGCAAGCCAAGGTACTGGCTCAGGCAACCACAGGGGCCACAAACCTGATCTGAGGATCTGGGCTGAATGTCCAATTAGATGGCAGATGGCACAAAGAACAGGAGATGTGGATTGGATCCACTAACATGGAGACCTTCAGCAAATGTTAATGCCTTTGGGCCTCAGATCTCTTATGTGGGGGATGGGATATAGACCTTCCTGTCTATACTCCATGAGGTTATTGTGAAGATCAACTGTATCCTACAACCCAGCAGAGTGTTCAACTGCCAGTGAAGACAAAGACACTTTTTTGCTGAGAGGAGTCCATCACCCACAGGCTTGAGTAACTACAGGTTTGCATGGAGTCCACGTGGGGCAACCACCTGCTCTGTGTGATATATATCACAAATTCCATCCTACTTAGCACAGTCACTTCCTCTTGCTGGGCCTCAGTTTTCCCAACTGCAAAATGGGAAGACTGGGCTAGATCCTCTCTAAGGGCCCTTCCAGTTCTGGAAGTCTAAAGCACAACGTTTGGCTCCACCACTCTTTAACTGTTCATAGCTTGGGCCTCTGGCTGGTTCTGTCTCTCCAGGTTTCCCCAAAAGCTTCTCTTCCAACAAAGGCTGACCTGAGGACAGTGAGACAATCATATCCCAGAGAGAAAACAATGCCGCTCAGCTCCTGGTCATCAATACTTACAACTTTGGGCTTCGTCTTGGTTGGTGACTGAAGAGGGGATGTCACTTTCCTCAGTTGGGGTGGATGAGGTCGGTACGGCACATAGGTTTGCAGCTGGGGGAAGAGTCGAACCTCCAGAGGGGTCCTCACGGGGCTGGTGGGAGGGCTGGGCTGTGGGGGCGGCTTGCTCTCAGAAGTCGAGAGTGAAGGCACAGGGGGGTGAGGAAACAAAGGCACCGTTTTTCTCTCTAAGGGGCATGGAGGGAAACAAAAGATGGGCTGCAACAAGGACCTTCTTCCTTGGAGACAAGGGGAGTGACTTGTGCCATAAAGACCTGACCTCCCCAAGGGTCAGCCCATATACGTGGTTGCTGGCCTCCAACACCCCCACACCCAGGAAGACTGCCCACTCACCTGGATTTTTTTTTTTTTAAAGATTTTATTTATTTATTTTACAGAGAGACATAGTGAGAGCAGGAACACAAGCAGGGGGAGTGGAAGAGGGAGAAGCAGGGTCCCCGCAGAGCAGGGAGCCCGATGCGAGGCTCGATCCCAGGACCCTGGGATCATGACCTGAGCCAAAGGCAGACGCTTAATGACTGAGCCACCCAGGCGCCCCCTCACCTGGATTTTTGACCGATTCCACCAGGATTCTAAAGTTCTCTTTATTTGCACTCAGGCCAGCAATGACATCTTCAATCCTCCAGAGATCCTTCTGTATCTGCGATTTCTCCTGAAAAAGACAAGGTGGTGGTTCATTTCCTTCTTAGCACTTCACCAGAAGTTTCTCATTAGGACTTATGCTGTCATTTCAGACATAGTCCCTCACCCTGGCAGGGGGTGGGGGTGGGCAGCATCCCCTTTGGAAACTCCACCAGGGCTAGACCCATGCCTGCCTCGGAGCTTCACAGGGAAACACACATATAGAAGACGCCCAAGATCCAGGGGAGAAATTCACAGGAGCTTTCTCTGATTCACCTTGCCTAGCTCCCCCTAATTTAAAAATAAACTGCCTTAAGTACTGCACACTTCCACTTATAAAGTATCTACAGTAATCAAAGTCAGAGACAGAAGAGTGGTTACCAGAGGCCGGGGCAGAGATGGGAATGAGGAGTATTGTTTAATGGGTACAGGGTTCCAGTTTTGCAAGATGAGGAGAGTTCTGAAAACTGGCTGCACAGTGTGAATGTACTTAACACTACTCACCTGCACATTAAAAATGACTAAGGTAGGGGCGCCTGGGTGGCTCAGTTGGTTAAGCGACTGCCTTCGGCTCAGGTCATGATCCTGGAGTCCCTGGATCGAGTCCCGCATCGGGGTCCCTGCTTGGCAGGGAGTCTGCTTCTCCCTCTGACCCTCCCCCCTCTCATGTGCTCGCTCTCTCTCATTCTCTCTGTCTCAAATAAATAAATAAAATCTTTAAAAA